TATATATATACACACACAAACCAGTGTATCTATGAATGTATGAAACCTTCTTTCTTCTTTTATCAATTTAAAAGATATGAATGAGATGTAAAGGAAAAGGAATGAGAGGATGTGAATGGAAAATGTATGAGAGGGTGTGAAGGAAATGGAAGAGAGATACAAACTATATATATAGTGATATTTTGAGAGGTTGAATGAGTTATATATACAGGGTATATTTTAAATGCAATCATATCTACTTGTATAACTAATGCAATTTAATTAATTGAGATATTTATAAAAATGATTAAGTTTATTTATTATCATTTGAATATTTATGTAAGATAAATAAGATTCATTAATTATGATCAATACTTTATATTAAGATATAATCAAAACTTCAATAAAATCATATATTTATCAAATTAAATGTAAGATAAAATTGAATTGGATTGATTATAAATCTTTCATATATATATATATATATATATATATATATATATATATCATGTGCAGTTGAGATCAATAATGCAATACACAACTATTCAATAAAGTCATACGATATGAAATGATTTGACAAGGAATGGGGCCCACATCCAGACCAAATAAAATTTTAAATCATTTTTCTCTTATTTTTTTAACAATTTTATTAAGTATACAATATTTATATACGACAAATGCAACAAATAAACTTATACACCCTCTTCATTTTTAGTGAGGTTTAAACTTCTGACCTTCTAAAAGACCAAAAGCTACAATTTCGCTAGGCCAAAGGCTCTTTGACACATTGGTTGAATATTGTTGGTGTCAAAATCTTTGTTTTTAGCTACTAATTTGGACAAAGGCCGATATGCAAGAATTAAATCAACCTCTCGAACTCGTTTCATTTTTCTTCCGAACGCACCAGCAACATGCTCCCTTCGCCTCTAAAAACTTCTATAAAAACGCCATGTCATCGAAAATGCCTAAGGCCACCATGTCCATCCTAAGTTGCTCATACCTATGTCCTCATCAACCGTCACGTTTTTTTACTTTTCCCACAGGTCCCGCTATTAGTCTCATGCAAACGCGTCTAAATCACCACAAACTTCCATCTCTCAATCTGTTGTGATAGGCGCAACTTCCAAGTCCGTAGAAAAACCTCGTTTAGTATCATGTATAACATGGTCCGGCACGTATCCATTTTTTAATAAATAACCATCACATTTTTAAAAATCAGTTACTTACATTTTTTTAACTTAAAAAAGATTATATTCACCGACTAATAAAATTTTAATAGTTTACTTTTTTTAATAAAAATTCAAGTTCGAAAGTTTAATATTTTTTCATTCAAAAAAAATATTTCAGAGTTTTAATTATTTAAAATAAAAGAATTTAATAGTTTTTTAATTTAAAATAATAATTAATATATTTATATTGTTGACATTGGAAAGGAAAATTGAAAGAGGAAAACGACAAAAATGAAATATCAGGTTTATTAATTATTCCTACTGTTTCAATCCACCCGTGATTTGGTACATATATTTGCTTTTTATAAAGTAAAGAGTGAATTACATTTATATTAAATTTTAGATTTGATCTTAATTCTATTGTTAATGTATAAATTTTCAGTTCAATAATATTTAAGTGCCGTTTACTAAACGTTTACCCGGGTAAGCGCTTATCAAGTCACTTTACTTTACTGGATGAATATGACAAGTACTAAGAATATTACCTGGTAAGAACGAATGCAAGAATCGAAAGTCTTACCCGATAAGTGACTTGGTAATCGCTTACCAAGTCACTTTACTTTCTGAAGTTTATATTTTTAATCTCGTTCATCTGCAGATTCAATCATTTCTAGGACACATGATACCACTTCTTATAATAGACAGTGTCCATCTGAAGGGGCCATATGTTGGCACCATGTTCTCGGCGGTCGGCATGGATGGAAACAATGAGATCGTACCCATTGCAATGGGAGTGGGGAAGACAGAAAGTGGCCCGTCATGGACATGGTTTTTACGTAAGCTGAGTCAGTGTATCGGTGAAGTGCCCAATTTAACCTTCGTAATCGATAGGGCTGCCTCTATCGATCTGGCTATACGAACTGTATTTCCCAACGTGCACCACCGACTTTGTTGTCGGCATCTCAGCTAGAACCTGCGCCTACCTCCAGTAAAGACAAAAGGAAAAGGTGGATGTTCTGGGAGGCATGCAAAGCTTATAGGTTGTCGGACTTTGAAACTACAATGGATTTGATGCGGCACAATCTACTTAGAGCTGCTCAATATCTTAAGGAAGTTGGTTACGCTAGATGGGCACGATCGCACTTCCCTGGATTGCGTTACAGTGCAATGACTTCCAATGGTGCGGAGTCCGTCAACTCAGTAACCCGGTTTGCATGCTATCTTCCAATAACAATGTTAGTTGAATTTTATCGGGCGACATTGCAACAATGGTATTTTATACGTCGGCATAACGGAGGTAAATTCAACCATTCTTTCACTATATGTTTGATTACGTAACATATGCTAATGATATCAAATATTTGCAGCTCAAATGATGAATGCAGTGACTCATTGGGCGGAGGCGAAATTAGAAAAGAGAATCCATAGGAGTGCAAATTGGAAGGTATATCCCATAAGCGATTTGTTGTTTGAAGTTGACGACAGGTATAAGAAAGGAACGTGCGATTTGCATGCTAAGACTTGTAAATGCATGCAATGAAAACTTTCTGGAATAGCTTGCGGTCATGTGATATCTATTGCTCGAAGTTTAGATATTCAAGACTGCAGTCAATTCTGTTCTGTTTGATTCAATTCTGACTCTTATCATGCAACATACGAGGATGAAGTCATTCCCTTTCCACCAGAAGTTGAATATGTGTTGCCCAACGAACGTATGACTGTCCTATCGCCTCCCTTGGACATACAAAACTCAGGCAGGCCAAGTTACCGCGATCGTATCCCGTCACGAGACGAGGAACCAATAGTGAAAACTTGCAGTCGATGCGGCCAGAGTGAACATTTTCGATATAATTGTCTGAGTCCGATACCAGCTCCTAGGCCGACGCATGAAAGTTCAAGTAGTCGTCGAAGATCATGTAAATGTAACGAATCATGGAAGTTGGATCATAAAATTTAGTCGGGAATTGCAGCATCGAATTTTACCGGCAATGCAACTCACGTACTTTGACAGTGTATAACTCACAAACTGTAAGTCGGAATAAACCTGTACTTTGCAGTTAAAAAAATATTACTGTATACTACAACTTTCATGAGCGGTCGAAAATCCAACTATGATTCTAAGTGGCTCGACCCGTTCTGTTTTTAGGCTGTTTGGACTCTATTCGTTATTAATCTGCAGTTTTGTAAAATTCATATAAAATAGATGGATGATCCAAATGAGACGATTCTAAAACTAATATACTCGTACGATACCAACCTACAACTTTGATTTAGAAAATATGATCTGGATTGGTCTCTAAGAAGGGAAAAAATGCTTAGAAAATGCATAAAGTACAAAAAAATATTATAAAATGTAGTCATGAACCTGCCAAGACTTGTTAGATCGTCTTTGAGTTGTTAAATCATCGCTGACATAAACCTTACAAGATTCGTCCTGAAACCCTGACCCATAACCCTACCAATGTATAATCGCCCCCCTTTTGCCTCGATTTGGTGAATCTACCTTCAGGGGCGATCCACGTCACCCGGGGGGTAATCCATTTTTTAATTTGTTTTGACCTTTTTTGCAAAAAAAAAATATTCACTACTTTTTTCGTGTCAAATGTTCTTATTTAATGGGTTGACGTTAGAAGGCATATTACTTGCTACCTTTCCCTATTTTCTTTATAACAATGGACGAAAGCTCTTCCAGTTCTAATTTTAAACGTCTAAGAACGAAAGAGGAGTGGGAAAGGCTGGGAGAAGAATGGTGGAGAAGTCAACTACCACAAAAAATGTCCGATGATGCGAGAGAGGCTATCAAGGACTACCAACTGAAATTGGATATACTACATGAACAACGCGCGGACCTTGGTTCAAAAAAGGAGAAGATTGAACATGAAATGAACGAGCGGACGAGATGGATTGCTGATGCAAAACAACAGATTAAGCAACAACAGTGCTGGATTGCTGATACAAGAAAGAAAATCAAAGAGGTGGAAAAACTGAACCACGATGCATGGTTCGATCTTGCATGCGGGAAAACTGGAAGAAACATTAGGTGGAATGAAGAGGACATTTAAAAAAACATGAAAAGAATAGAAAGAATTAAATCACTCTATCCGCATAATAAAATTTAGTAGTATCGGATCAAAAACTTATTGTTGTCAATGTTTCTGGTTCAATCTTTTATAATTTATTGTATTGAAATGATGATGATGTGACAAGTCCCATTATGTTTTCCTATAAATAACCTTGTTTTCCATTACAAACCCACTCCACCATCAATTATTCATTGCCTCTCAACTCAGTAGATAAAAAATGGTGAGACATTGCAACTGTGGCACTGATGCAATCATCAGAACGTCATGGACCGATCACAACTCATGCTGTTGATTCTTTTGTTGTTTACATGTGAGTGTTTGCGTATATATGACCTTCGTATATAATTGTGTTTTATATATATATGTATTCATTACTTTTTGTAGGGAATAAACTGTGGATTTATGATTGGCTTGATCCACCCATGTATCCAAGATCTGTGCTAATTATTCCAGGGTTATTAAGATCAACAAATAATCTTGAAGTGTCACTTATTGAAGCTGTTTTACAAGCTCGCCGGTTGAGGACGACGTTGGCGATAAGTTGGATTTCCTTTTTAGTGATTGCGATGTTTTTATTCATCAAGACGATTGTAGGATAATTGTCATTTACGGTTTAATATTAGCGAAGACCATTTAAAAAAATAGTGCAAACAATGTCATTTACAACAAATAAACTTTTTATTGCACCTAAGTTACACGCGTTGGATACAAGATAGATGCCATACGTGAACGAAATATCATTGAATGAAGGTCAGTTGGCGTCTCACAATTTACCTCTTGTCCTTCGGACAACTGCTCAACAAACATGCAATAGAACATCCCACAATCGCCGAGTACTCCACACTGTCGAGGCGCGTCTTTTGAATAAAATACTCTTACATTCGGCGGTCTAATTTGCTCCTTGGCCCCTAGATAATATCCTATTTCGAATAGGAATTTGGGGAGGAACTTCTTCAACACAAGGGTGATACCATTGATTTGTTGCCTGAACATCTCTGACAGACAAGTATCGTATATAGTCAAACGCCATGACCTTAGTTCGAGCTCCCTAGTCACCCAATGAGCATTTGGTATGTTTTTTAGGATGAATACCTGAAAAAATCAGTTGCGAATAAGAATTGATAAATAAAATATTTTCTATATATAACAAAATTGTTGCGTGATTCTACCGACCCGGTTGACGTTTCGCCATGACGGATATGGCTCGCGTGTACCATTGTCGAACACCTTCTGATCCGCAGGGCCAAGACTTGGATTGGCTAAACTTGGTATCCAACAAGGCCGCATGATGGTCCAACGGTCTGTCGGTTGCCTCTTACAGAGAAGATACGTGTTCCATGCATCAAGATGCTAAAAATACAAAACAATGGATTAATTATAATTAAATGAGTCAAAAATGTAAGTTTTTCAACTTATTTAGTAAATAGTATAATTATCATACGGATGTTGTGGGCATCGATGAGGGCATTTGGCCAACAACTATTTTGTCCTTCTTTTTGCTTTCAGCATCGGAAAAGGAGATGAGGTCCACCACGATTTCCTGCTCACTCGTTTCGCAGGAACATTGGGCAAACAAACATCTTCTTTCGACTCAACAAATGGGACCTCGCATGGTGTAGATGCCGCAACATCGTCCATCGCAGGTTGCTGCTGCATCATAGACTGTGTACGCACAAGCCAAGATAAATTAAAAAATTTATCTAATTTAATTATTAACTTCATAAATAAAAACATTATAAAACTTTAACATATTTACCGTATCTTGATCGGTGTAGGACGTCGGTATGTACTGTGCACGTACAATACAATAAAAATTAATTTATTTAATACAATTGTTAACTTTTAAATTAAAATCAATAAAACCTTAAACATATTTACCTCATCCATTGTTGGAAACTGATGCGTCCAAGGTGTGTCCGCATGTGTCATCGGAGGCGGATACTGCGACATCCAATATAAATTTACTGTTTATATAATTGTTAACTTGCAAATTAAAACATCAACAAAAATAAACACTCTTACATAGACGTCATGCGGATTATTGTATCGGGAAGGACCAGCCATAGGCCCTTGTCTACGCACTTCATTAGAAAATCTCGCTTCTAGTGAAGCGAGCCTCTCATCGACCTCAGCACGATGTTGGAGCCATTCATCGCGCCATTGTGTGTCGATATATGCAGCTGATGAATGGCGATGTTGTTGCTCGTATGTAGGTCTTTGAGAAGTGTGCGCTGCAAACGACTGACATGGTCCCGATGGTTGGAAATCCTCGTCAGCGTCATTATTTTCCGGCTGTCCATAATAATTTTTTTGTATAAATTCAATGCTTTCTATCCACCATTGGGCCGACTCCTCCAAATATGTCGGCACCAACTCGGTCAGGGGGCGAGACGATTTCTATAAATATATTAATCAGTATAAAATTTTAAACATACTTAACAAAAAAAATTGTCAAATATTAAAATTATAATCAATGAAACCAAACATTGCCAATGGTGGATAGTGCACAACACTCCTCCCATTTCATCATCTTGGTTCGTTTCCATCCAATAGCCCTCGGGAAGGAAGGACTATAACGAAAAAAAGGTTTCGTTCCGGACAATGCCTCCAAGATCCATATCTGGTAGGTTACGAAAAAAATGATGGTAAGAGAATATCAATTAATTAGTAAATAAGATATTTTTTTTAAAGAATTTAACCGACCTTGAAGGCATATATGAACCCATATAGGGTATACTTCGAGGGTGGCCAATTGTTGTGTCTACGCCGCTCGAAAGCATTTTTTATTTGTGGATACGTCAGACGCCATATGTATGAGCCCCACGGGTATCGATTCCAGGACTCCAGATTATCAACCAGATGCAAAATCCAGTCTTCAATGTTGTGATTATTCTTTCGTCCCAGAAAAAAGGAGTGGAGCATGACTACAAGGCAGACACGCACCGCGTCATCGTCTGATACGTTTTTTAAGTCGGACATTTTATTTCTAAAATGTTCGACTTTAGTATTACGAAGATTGTTTGGAAACAATCTTCTAATAATCTTGGGCACGGTGCAATGTGACGGGCGAAGATCCGGCCCAAATCTTAGACCCGTGATCAGACAGAACTCATGTCTGCCGAACCGCAAGTGGAACCCTCCAACCTTATAATAGATTTCCTCTGATTGAGAAGGGATGGAGGGGTCCTCACATTGCACCATCCAATTTATTAAAGATGAGTCCGAATAATGGTGGGATAAATCCAACCATGGGCCGAAACAAGTTTTTCTAAACATGTGTAGACTCATCTCATTATCACGTAGCGCTACGTTAATATCTCTTATTATTGAGGTCTGAGCCCTCAACGTCAGTAGCGACTCATGAAACACCTGAAAAAAATAAAAAAAGATTAATTTATATAATGTATACATACGTTAGTATATACAAATAGATAAAAACGTACATCTATATGTGCATATATATATATATATATAGATAAATATATAGAGATAGATAGATAGATACATATATAGATAGATATGTAT